CATCATACGCCTGAAAATTAAACAGAAAGGGCACACACATCAAGCCAATGTTCTACTGAAAACTTTCTCGCTGTCTGCTCCATGTATGGATCACTTTGATTTGGTTCCCATGACAGGATCCCGGGATCTGTGAAGGCCGCTACTTGTACTTGGGATCCTGGCCCATCCTGGCTACTGAAAGCACGTAAAGATGACATCAGTGAGTCCATAATGGCCATTATAAATCAATCACTAACTCAGGGTACCTTTCCTTGGGCTCTAAAATGAGATATCATCTGCCCGTTACTTGAAAAACCATCCTTAGAGAACAACGACGGGGCCAACCAATGCTCCCTCTAAGCTGTGGAGTCTTGTGAGCAAAAATTCTACTTTGTGAGCTGCTGGCATTAAAGTTGCGCTGTGGCTACTGCATAGATTAGTTTGCTCTGGAGCCATCCTTCCTGAGCTAAGACAAAAACGTGTGAGCTGGAGGCAAAAAACCCTGTGAGCTAGCTCACCCTAACTCAGCTTAGAGGGAACACTGGGGCCAACTATTGCCTATTCTCTAATTTGTCTTTTTTGGGCAAGGTGACAGAGGGAGATGCAGCAGTGCAACTCCAGGACTCCCTGGATAACTCATTTGCCCAGAACCCCTTTCAGTGTGGTTTCAGGCCAGGCTAAACGACAGAGACAACACTGGTGGCTTTAGTTTCTTTTCTTAAAAATGTTATCCCCCACCCCCCCCACAACTTTGTATTGAAAAGTTGCTCAGACATTGTAACAATGCAAAAAACAAACTATAAAACTCTACCATTGGAGCAATCGTAAGGTTAATTTGTTCAAATGTACAACTATTAGGAGGAACCAAAAACCATGTACCAAAACAGAGAAACAAGAGGAAGAGAAAATTATTAAGCCACTATCTATTGGCTAATTAGCGTAACAAGACGTCTATTGTAGAAACATTACCAAATAAGTCTGAGTTGTGTGCTATAAAGGTTGTAACAGGAAACCAAAAAGTGAAGTAATTGGAGGAGAGAGGATTTGAATCATGTTGTGAAACTTGGTCTTTCTCCATTGTTAGGAAGTCCCAAAGGGTCCTATTTGGTGTAGTGGTTAAACGCGCGGACTCTAATCTGGGAGAACCGGGTTTGATTCCCCACTCCTCCACTTGCACCTGGCTGGATGACCTTGGACAAGGCGTAGTTCTGATAAGAGCTGTTCTTGAAAAAGAGCAGTTTCTGTCAAGAGCTCTCTCAGCCCCACCTACCTCACAGGGTGTCTGTTGTGGGGAGGGGAAGGGAAAAGGAGTTTGTAAGACACTCTGAGACACCTTTGGGTAGTGAAGGGTGGGGTATAAATCCAATCTCTTCTCTAAGTAAATACTAATAGGATGCATTCAGATGCGCGGTTTCAGCTGGCATAAACTGCTCCGGTTAAAACCGGAGCAGTTTGATCCAGAAGAAACGCAATCACATTCACCTCCTGACTGCGCGGCACATTGCGATATGCCCGTTCACACTACCGACGCGCAGCAGCGTGCATCGGCAGTTTTTAAAAATTTTTTTACATTTTGCAGATGCGCATAGGCAGCCATCCACAGAGTTGAGATCTTCGCACAGGCGCAGAACACCCCGTCCCGAAAAGTGTGCCCTGAAGCGAAGACTTCCCTTTAAACTTTTACAGCGAAAAGGGCCTCCGTGTGGTCCTAGACTCATCCGCAGCCTAAAACTAAGCATTTTGTTTGTTTGTTTGTTTTACAAACGCCGGGGCGAAGCTTCACCCAAGCGCACATCGAGGAGGCTAAAAAAAATGGTGTCTGAAAAGCGGAAGCCTCGGGCTTCCAAACGGAAGTGGCTCTACACTGGCAGAGGGCGATCAGACGGGGATAATGCGGCTAGAACCGGAGCACTCAGGATACCACCACTTGGGGACCTAGTAGCAGAATACACCGGTTTAAAGGATGTTTGCAACGGTTAGGGATGGAAGGCAGATGTTGGCTGTGTGATTGCGCGTACGTACTCCGATTCTAACCGTCTCGTATACCGGCTCAAATGCCCGTCTGAACGCACCCATAGACTTGCTAATGGGGTTAAAGAAGTTTCATAGAAAACAGCTTCCCAGGGTTCATATTTTCCGCACCAGCTACGGAACCAACATAGCTGAAGAGGAGCCACTGAGCTATCCTCAAATGCAATTTCAATCATTAATTTACAGCTGTTCTGCAACAACACGTGAAGTGGCTTCACACAGAACCACACAGCCCAACACTGTCCCCTTTAACCAGCAAGGCCCTTCCCCCATCAACTGCAGATGCAGGAGACAGGCCCTTCTGCACATAAAGTACCAGCTGTGCTACTTTCCTTTTAGCTTGAGAGTGGAAATTCTTCAGGCATCTCATGGTTTTGTTCTGTAAAAACCCAAGCTAAACAAGAGGTGCCTACCTGTTCCCCGTCTAACATGACCTGGGGGAAGAGAGACAAGAGGACTTGCTTCGTTTGCACCTGAATTGCTCCCAGCTGCTGTTCCAGGGCCTCCTGAAAGAACAAAGAGGGATGGACGATCCTTTACACATTAAAATTAATATGTGCGCACCTCAACTGTAAAGTGTGCCTGCTATAAATGTGTATCACATAGGAGTGCTCAGAGAGGCAGGATTACCTGTTGGTCCCTGTCAGGGCCGGCTTGCGAGCTAGACGAACTAGGCATTCGCCTAGAGTGCGCCGGCCCTTAGGGGCACAAAACTGCACCCGGCCTCCCTTCCCTGCCTCCTGCTGCACCCTCTGCCCTCCCTCCCTGCTTTTCTCCCAGTCTGGAGTGTCATCATGGAACTTCTTCACGGGTGCATGGAGAGGCACGCGGCAGCAGGGGGGGGGAA